CCATCACCACCACCTTCACCACCATCACCATCATCACCATCACCACCATCATCATCATCACCACCACCACCATCAACATCACCACCATCACCACCTTCACCACCACCATCACCACCATCACCACCTTCACCACCACCATCACCACCACCATCATCACCATCAACATCACCATCACCACCATCACCACCACCATCATCATCAACATCACCACCACCATCATCATCATCACCACCACCACCACCACCATCACCATCATCACCACCACCGTCATCATCATCACCATCATCACCCCCATCATCATCATCACCAACATCACCATCATCATCACCATCATCACCACCATCACCACCACCATCATCATCACCACCATCACCATCAACATCACCACCACCATCATCACCATCACTACCACCATCATCACCACCACCATCACCACCATCATCACCACCATCACCATCATCATCATTATCGCCACTACCTCATCACCGTCATTTCCTTCTGGCCCATAGCATTTTCCCCATCTGTTCTCTGAGTGAGAATAGCCCCACGAGATGAGGATACTGTAGAGCCACTTGCTCAGGGCTACCTCTCTGCCAGGTGGCAGAGGCTAGGCTGGTTGCCATGTCTACCTTTAGCTGCAAGCTGAATCTGTCTTTAAGACTCAGGACAGCAGTTTGCCAGCTCATCTTCCCTGGCAGGCTCTTTGGCCCAAGGGGGAAGCGATTGGCCATGTATTGCGTTGGTCAAAGAGTTCGTTTGGGTTTTTCTGTAAGATGTTACCCAAACGAACTTTTTGGCCAACTCAATATCTGGGCCCGGCAGAAGTGGCAAGGGTGGGGTTGGCCAGGAGAGGGCTTCCTCCCCGGTCTCGCCCTTGAGCCCTTGAGCTCTGCTTCCCTGAGATCCCGCGCAAGCAGCCCATGTGGCGGCAGACCCTACTCCGCACCCGCATGTTCTGGTTTCCTGCAGGGGCCTGGGAGCCAGGGCCCTGAGTCAGCAGCGGCGCCCATCGGCAGCCTGGGGTGTGGGAGCCACACCGTCGTGACAGCATCCCAGTTTCCACGTGATGTTCGGTGCCCTGTAACAATGGGGAGGACCGTGCCACCATGGGAGCAGAGGCTGGGGGCGGGGCTGGAGGCGGGACTTGGAGGCAGCGGGACATCCAGGCCCTGAGCTCTGTTCACATGAGGAGCAAGTCCACCACACCCAGGGAGTCAGCCCCCGTCGGGGGGCCTCACCCCGCTCAGTGGGAAGCCTGCTTCCAGCTCCCCGCTCCCCTGAGGGCCAGGTCAGCGCCTCCTCAGCCACATCCCTGCACCAGCACGGGGGCTGTGGGTCGGCTCAGAGCGGTGTTCCCTGCAGGCCTGACATCGCCTGGGAAAGTGGCTCACGTGTCCCCTTGGACCGGGGCCATTAATTGACGGCGCTTAACTAATCTGCCCAGGAGAGCAATCCAACGGAGATCGTGTCCCACGCGGCCACGCGGATTGACTTCCTTATTCCAGTTAACCGCGGCCAGAGGGGTGCCCTGAGGCGCGGCGAGCTCCGGCCTTGGGCCGCTGACCCAGCAGCCCGGGCGCTCCATCCAGGAGCCCACACTCGTGCTTGCCTCAAGGCCGATAAGACTCCCGTTACAGGAGCCGCTTGCTCGCAATTAATGGCTTTATTTAGGGCACTTTTCCCTCCAAAGAGCAATTAGATTTCCGCAGGCTTTGGGAAAAGCAAACGACATGGAGATGGACACCCCAAAAATCAGGCCCAGCGCGGGGTGGGGGTGGTGTCTGCACCCCTCGGAGGAACCCCCAACCCCTCTCGCTACCTGTCAAGCCAGAGGTCGCCAGGCTCTGCTCCGGAGGGACGCTCCATGAGGTTCGGAGCAGCAGAGGGCTGAAAACTTGCAGACCACCCCTTCTCCCTGCCCCATCTCCCCCCGCCCAGCGGTCAGGGTTCTGCTCCCTGAAGCCCTGCCCCATTTACCCCCACTAACGGGTCTGGAGCAGCGGCCCCATGGAAACCTATCTGTTTGCTCCGGGCCCCAAGGCCGCCTCCCAGCCCGCAGCCGTGAGGCCTTTGATGCCTCAGGGCCACCCACGTGCTCAGCGAAACAGGGCAGACCTTTTCCCAGGCAACACGTCCTAGTGTGTGGTCCCACCTATGTGGGTAGTAGTCTCACGTTCACAGAGACAGCAGGTTGCTGGGCGCCGGGGGAGGGGGCAGCCTCGAGAGGGGCAGCCTTCCTCTTGGGGTGACGGGAATGTCTGGAATTAGGTAGTGGTGATAGTTGCACAGTCTCGTGAATATAACAAAAAATCGCAGAAGAGTACACTTTCAAACGGTGAATGTTATGTTACATGAATTATATCTCAATTTTTAAAAACAGGGAAAAAAGATCTACAACTTAATACTAAGAAGACAAACAACCCAATTAAAAACAGGCAAGAGATTTGAGCGGACTTTTTTCACCAGAGAGGATCCAGGGATGCAAGTGAGGGCACCGAGGTGCTTCCTGCCCACAGCCTCAGGGAAGTGCAGCTTATCGCCTTGGTGGGATGCAGCCATCCGGCCTAACGCGGCTCAAAGGGGAAAGGCGGCCACCGCCAAGTGTGGCGACGCTGTGCGGGACGCGGGATCTACGGGTGGAGACCACCCTGCCCACCGTCAGGTGAGTGGGGCCCCGCGTTGCGGCTGAGCAAGGGGACAGACCCCAGGCACAAGCACCTGGGGAAGCTCAGCACAGCGGTGCCCAGGGAAGGAGCTGGAGGAATAAGCCCCATGTATAAAATTCTAGGAAGAGAAAACTAATCCATGTGGACAAAAAGACCAGCGGTTCCCCGGGGGAGGAGGGGTGTGGGGGGGAGGGGCAGAACCAACTTAGGGGTGACAGGTCTGCCCATCGCCCAGCTCTCGGCCACGTGCTCATTGCATCCACACCCACCTTCACTGTGTATGGGGTGTTGTGTGTCGGTCATACCTGGATGAAGCGAGTCCCTGCCCGGAGCCGTCCTGCCTGCCCCCTCCTCTGCCCGTGTCCCTGAGTGGGGCTGGCAGGTGGGCATGAGCCCTGTGTCCCTGGGGCCTCTGGCCAGATGCTCCCCCAGCCCCTGGAGGCCTGGAACTCCCCTTCCTGCCCTCTCACATGGAGGCAGGGCCTCCCTCCTGTCCTCAGAAGTGGGGAGCTCCCAGGCACCAGATAAATGTCTCCTTGCCCAGCAGGTGTGGCAGTGAGTCCCAGGGAGGACGGACGGGCAGGATGTGGTGATGGCTGGAGAGTGCAGACAGCAGGCTGAGGGCAGCGGAGCAGGGTCAGCCCCAGACTCCTGACACCCGTGCTCCGCCTGCCTGTCCCCTCCTCTAGGTGCCAGGGATCAGCCCAGGGCTCAGAGCTCAGGGCTCTGCCACATGCCCAGGCCTCAGTTTTCCCACCTGTAAGATGGGCCCCAGGCACCGCCCTGCTCCTGACCATGGGAGACAAGGGAGCTGCTGGAAGGTCGTGTCCTACTCCTAGGACCCCGGCTTGTGCCCCCTGAGTGGGGTCAGAGGGAGACCCTGAGGCCCAGGTGCCCCATGAGGGGTGGCCTAGGTCAGGGAGGAAGGGTCCTAAACAGAGCACTCCCCTTTCTCTCCGTCACCCCATCTGCCCAGAGCCCACCGGCCAGGAAAACGGGCCGCTGGGGAGGAGTCACTCTCTCCCCTCAACACGCCCCCAGCCCAGGTGGCCACTCCTGGGTCAGCCTGCTCACGGCCGCGCTTCCCTGCCCCTCTGCGGTGGACCTGTCAGGTGGGCCTGTCTGCATCTCTGCACAGCTGAACTTTCCCAGCTGCCAACCTGCCACGGCCCAGGGAAACAGGATTGCCCCAGACAGAGAACAGAGACACAGAGTGTGAAAAATTGGACTGACAGTGCCGTGCTGATAGCTTGTTGAAGGAGGGAGCCCAGCTCGAAGGGAAATTTACATTTATATAGTGCATTTCACCGGGGCCTGGCCAGGGCCTCAGCAGGCCCACCCGGGGCCGTGGGCAGGTAGAGACGGAGACACCAGCTCGAGCGGGAGCGGCCGGGGACGGGGTGGAGTGACCCCCACTAGGTCCCCAGGCTCCCCCCAACCCCGTGAGCTCTCCGCCCTTCCAGCCACACCTCCCACGCTCCATCCACTCTCGGGCAGCCCTACCCGACCCCCGACCTCCTTGCCTCCCCAGGGCCGCCAGCCTCCGGCCTCTGGGCGCCTCCCTGACCCCGTGCCTGAGGCTCAGCCCCGGCCAGCGTGGCACAGAGCAGCGGGCATGTGAGGACACAGAGGAGGCACTGTCCGCACACCCACCGGCACCCCGATCTCCGACGTCCAGCCTCCAGGACTATCGGTGAGAGCCTCCATCCTGGTGTCCGGTCAGGGTACCTGGTTACAGCAGGGGCCTGGGGACAGCGCCAGCCCACACAGCGGAGGGCGTGCCAGAGAGCGGAGCAGCCCGTCCCAGCCAGGCTTCCCAGGGGACAGAGCCACCAGGGCCTCTGCTTCTGGAGGGGGCCGGGGGCCTCTGGGGAGCTGCCCCGTCCCCAGAAGTCAGTGCCAGTCCCGAGGACGGTCGCCCTCCATGTGAGGGGCGCCGTGGCTGTCTTTGAAAGATCTGCGGGCATTTTAAATAAAACCTCTTCGTTTGATTAACTGAGCGGAGAGGGAGCCTCGGCACCTCCCGGGGGTGTCCATCAGTTTCTCCGGGACAGGGCGGCGGGGGTGTCCATCAATTTCTCCGGGACAGGGCGGCGAGCGCCAACCCGGAGGGCGCCTGGCCCACATCCATCACCTCCCCAGAAGGGGAATTTTTCTTGGGAGGCGACAGAAGAGGTTCATCGTGTTGCTCACGGGGAAGCGCAGGGCATTTACATATTCTGTACCAGGAGGGGGGTTGGAGGGTGGGTCCTGGCCTGTGAGGCCACTTCCAGGTTGGTGCCAGGCCGTGTCCTTTTGCAATGGCTGAGGCTGGGGCCCAGGTTGCAGACGAGGAAGCAGAGAGGGCTTTCCCTAAACTGCGAACGGCCAGATCCTGTCTCCGGCAGCGTCCCCCCCGGCTCGCAGGGCCCGCGGAGGTCAGACCCGGGCCTCAGCCAGTCCCCTCCCCCTGCTCCCCACGGGCCCCGCTGGGCCTTGATGCACACACGGGGGCTGGGGCTGTCTCTCCACGCAGGGAGGGCTGCTCAAGGGCAGGGTCCCCACTTCTGGAGGGCAGTGGAGGGGCCCAGAGCAGGGGCGCCCCCGGGCGGGACGGGACGCAGAGCAGCCAGAAGCCCCTGAGCCTCGTCCGGGGAGCACTGCCCCGTGCTGACCTGTGGGCGTCAGGGCGGCCCCAAGGCAGGTTGACATCATGTCCTCACCCTGAGGCCTGGGGTCCCTTCCAGCCACTCCTGTGCACGCTGCCACGTGGGAGGATGGGGGCCAGGAAGGGTAGAGGTCAGAGAGGGCAAAGGTCAGGGAAAGAAGGGGCCCAAAGGGCAAGGGTCAGGGAGTGATAGGGCCAAGGAGGACAAAGGTCAGGGAGGACATGGGTCAGGGAAGTCAGAGTTCAGGGAAGGCAAAGGTCAGAGAGGTCAGGGGTCAGGAAGGCAGAGGTCAGAAAGGGCAGAAGGCGAGAGCCAGGGAGGACAGAGGTTAGGGAGGGTAGAGGTCAGGTAGGTCAGGGGCCAGAAGTGTAAAGGTCAGGGAGGGCAGGGGCCGCAGAGGGCAATGATCAGGGAGAGCAGTGTTCAGAGAGGTTAGGGGCCAGGGAGGTCAGAGGTCAAGATGGTCAGAGGCCAAGGGAGGGCAAGGGTCAGATAGGACGAAGGTAAGAGGGTTCCTGATCAGCTTCTAGAACCCAAAAGTTATCTTTCTGTCCCAAAACGGGACCCTGATTGGGCCGAGTCAAGGGCTGGGCGTGGCCCTGGCAGGGGTTTGGCCGGGGAGTGCACGTGACCTCAGCCGGCCAATCAGATGCGGCTGGAGGCCAGGTGGGTGAGGCTTCACGGTCTGGTCCCCTCAGCAGAGGAGTGAGGACTGGGGAGCAGGTGGGGCTGCGTGGGGCCCTGGGCGGGGTCAGGCTGTGAGGCCCCAGGCAGGAAGCAGCCTCAGGCCCTGGAGGGACACACAGGGTCTTAAGAGTGTTGGCAGGTGTCCCTCTGCTGCGGGTGGGGATGGGAGCAGGCAGGAGGGACCTCCTGGAGGCGGCAGAGGGGCTACAGGGAGACTCCAGTGACCAGACCTGGGTGGCGGGTGGGCCTCAGCTAGTCACCGGGAGCCCCACCGGCCCCCCGCTGCCCAGGGGCACGGTCGTGGGCCCAGGCCGACCCTGCCTCGCTGGGAGTTGGGTGAGGAGCCGAAGCCTGGCCAGCTCAGGCCAGGGCCAGGGCGGAGGGCTCTCTGGCCATCTGGGTCTGCCGCGGCACGGCGGGTCCCCTGAGCCACCCGACAGAGCAGGGCTCCCGGGACACGGCCTCCCCAGACGGGCTCTGGCTTGACTTTTATGCTCTCTGCAAGTTATCAATCTTCACCCCCTCCAAGATAAATGCCTCGTCAGGCTGGCCGCGCGGACCCCCTATTTATCACCATTTAATATGTATTAAAGCGCTCTCGCCTCTGATGGCGAAAACAAACAAAAAGAGCTGCCTCAGTCCCGGGGCAGCAACAGGCAGCAGGCGGGTGGGGTGTGGGTGGGGTGCTGGGGGCTCCCCTCCTTCTGCGCCGGCAGAGCCCCAGGGACCCCGGACCCCGTGTGCAGAGGGCACGCCCCACGGGCAGGCCAGCTCTCCCGGACTCTGTCCTCCCACTGTCATCCCGGGACAGAGGAGGAAGCAAAGGGGCCCTGGCCAGCAAGTGCCCCGCCCTCAGGGCCCCTCTGGGCAGATCTCAGCCGGGACTCACCAGCCTCGTGCTGCCTGCTGAGACCTTCTCGGCACCAGTGGTCCAGGGTTTAGGGACCCTGGTGCAGGGGAGCCGCCAACTCTGCCCAGGACAACAGCCCAGGAGGGGGGCCTGGTCTTGCCTCCCCTCCCCAGGGACCCTGTGTCCTCCGGGTCGGGAGAGGGGAAACTGAGGCACATCCCTGATGGAGCTGTGCCAGGCCCTGGGCCTCTGCCAGATGTTTGCAGGAAGGACTCTTCCTCCAGGAGAAATAGACCCTGTTCCATGAAAGCACCACAACCCAAGCGTACACTGCAGATGGAGACGGCGTGGAGTTGGACAGACCCTTCCCGCCCAGCCCCAGGGCCACCGTTGACTTATTAACGTGGCGGGTAATGATAGATGCTGTAACTGGTCCAACCCCGGAGCCAGGCTCCTTGGGCACAGCGCACCCCCACTCCATAGATGGAGAGACTGAGGCCCCGGGACGGGCGGGCTTGTGTGCCACCAGCCCCCTCCCCCACCGGGGACCCAGGTCCCCAGCCCACCCTGCCCTCGCGCCCCTCTGCCTCTGCCCCCATCTTCCTCTCGGTCGCCGCTGTCCACTCCCCCTCCCATCCCATAATAAGCCCGGCCCCCGGGGGTGGAGCCCCCGTGGCGGCCCAGGCAGTGGGGGCTGCTGGGACTGCGGTGGGAGGGGAGGGGTGCGGGCTCGGGCCACTAAATCAGTCCACGCCTGTCACCAGCTCGGGGCCGCGGGAGCCGCCCGAGCGGAAATAACAAATGGCTGTCATTGTGGAGCCAAAACCTGTGATTATAATTATCACATCCTCGGTGACCTTGCGTAAACTTTAATCCCTCTCCAATGGAGCATTTAAATAGCCTTCGCTGCGCACCGCAGAGCCCCCGGCCCGCCCGCCAGGCCCCCAGCCCCCGCGGCTCCCAGGGGGCAGGGACAGCTCTGCAACCGCGCCTGCCGAGCGCTCGCGATCACTTGGCATTGAGCGGGGCTGCCAGGGACCCACCCTGACCCCCCAGCTGGGGGGGGGCTCCCCCACCCCCATTTCACAGTGACCCACACGCACGGGGGGGCTGAGCGGCCACCGGGGACGTGGGGAGCTGGGCACCGACTCCAGGGCCCTCTGATTCGTCCTCTGTGTTCTGAGGCCCCCGGGTGAGGACAGACTGGAGGAAGCCTGGCGTGGGGGGACTTGCCCGGGACTGTAGGGCCTGGGGTGGGGTCCCTCAGACCGGGGCTCCGTACGGGGGTCTGCAACACTCAGCTCTGCAGATGTGGGGAGGAGCTGGGGGGACAGAGGTGGCAGGGAGAGGGGAGCAGGTGCCCACAGAGGCCGTGGGCGTGGGAAGCAAGAGTCAGGAGCAGAGTCTGTTCCAATCTGTCTGCGCCTGGCCCGTCTCCTGGTGGGGTGACAGCTGTGGGGGCGGGGACACACACACGCACGCGTGTACACGAGAGCACACACACGTACAAGGCACATGCGCAGACACACAGGGCACATACATGCGGGCACACCACGCACACTTGAACAGCGCATGTGAGCACACAGGCGCGTACACACACGAACACACGTACACAAACACGCGCTCGCCCCACGCATGCACACCATGTGCGCTCTCAGTCGTGCTGCGTGTGGGGCAGCGAGGGCAGTGGAGGGCCGGGCACTGAGCCCTGAGAGCTCCCCCCCGCCTCCCCCCGTGAGGGGGCAGCGAGAAGACGGAGGCCAGGAGGAGAGGGTCCTCAGTCCCAGAGGAGCACATGCCCGCGGGTGGATCCCGGGTCAGAGGCCAAGGGATAGGATGTCCCGGGGGTGGCAAAGGAGGTCTTGGGGGCCAGGCCTGAGCTGTGACCTCCTAGGACGGGGTGGCCGGCCGCAGGCGGGGGAGGCGGCCGGGAGCAGGGGCTGGAGACCTGCCTTCCCAGGAGGCCAGGTGGGTGGGGGTGGGGAGAGGAAGCAGCGGGGAGGGTCCTGGCTCCCTGGGGGGGACGGCAGGTGGACGCGGCCCACGGGAGGGTCTCGCGCACCCACACGGCTGCGGTAAAGCGTCTGCGGGTGGCTTGGGGGGTGGGGTGGGGGCGAGGGGGGCCTTTAGGTGCCTCGAGAGCCGGACTCAGAGCTCAGACTGAGAGGCGGTGGGCCCTCTCCAGCCGGGGAGTCCTGAGGGCCCACGCGGTCCACATCTCCCGGGAGGGGGTATCCACCCTGGACCCTCCCCACCCCCTCAGCCTTAGGTGGGGGCTGCCGCGGGGCAGGCCGGGACCTCGATCGCCGCCCGCGGATGAAGAAATGTCAGCGGCGCCTCCTGCGCCCTGGCCGCTGAGTTGGGCCCGAGGCGCGGCAGCCCTGGCCTCGAGTGAGTGGCTGGGCAATCGCATAATTGCCGGCTGCCACGCGGTCACCCTTGACAGGCTGTCCCCACCCCTCCCGAGTGACACGCAGCCCCCCCGGGACGCTCGCTGCAGGGCGGCAG